ATGGAAATGCCGGCCGTATATCCAATGTAGTTGCGCGTAGATCCCGCCGTAAGTTTGCTTTATAAACGAGTCGAGGGCTTTCAGCACTCTAATACTAGTTAGCATATGTAGGTTAAGGCCCGTGCTAAAAGGGCGCCACCCTAAGCAAAATCAAATATGAGTTGTATTTCATAGATAACCCAGGATACACATTGTCCACAGACAGCATGGTGCGATCATAGCAACCAATAACCTGACGGCCAGTCACGATTATTAGGTTGCAAAGCGCGCCATTTGTGTGCTGAAGCAGACGTAGAGGTGAGAACAAATAGCCAAGCGAATAGCAAAGTAGCAGTAGCATAGGCAGCAGTCAGCAGCAGCAGGCAGTACAGTCAGCATCAGTCGCTTTGTATGGCAGCAGCAGGCAGCAGGCAGGCAGCAGCAGCAGCGACAGCAGGAGTAGCGCAGCAGCAGCCGCGCGGCGCGGCAGCAGTCAATCAGCGGCAGGCCACCACAGCACCCACACACAGCCAGCCGGGCTTTGGGTCACAAGAATTCCGGTCAGCACAAGGAGCACCGCGGCACACACCAACACCACGCACACACACCACCACGCCACGCACACCCACCAGCTACGACACACAATCACACACACTCCAACAAACACCACCGCACATTCATCATAGACGAGTTTTTTTTGGGATATCGACCGCACACGCACAACAAACACACGCACTTTAGCGCGCACAACCCAGCATCACCAACGTGTTACGTTACGTCCAGACCACCGCACATTCACCCACACACACACACCAGTACACAGATATAATAATATTACATAACACCCAACGATACCACGACCCAACATTCAAAGCCAGTTGCACATTGCCTCCACACACACACACACACACGTTCGTTCTAGCACCGACTGACCGGTTTGCGCTGTAGCCTATCTTCTCGTCTAGTGTTTGCATGGCCGGCACTTAAATATCGCCAAGAGATGGATCAACACAAACGCACGGGACGTCACGAGCAAATCACTAAACACACCTATAAGCATGCCGCACGCTCGCGAGCATACAAACACAGCGACAAGACAAGACCAAGCAGCTAGCCGCAGCAGCAGCAGCAGCAGCATGCGGCCAAGGCTTGGTCGCCTTCTAGGCTGTGAAGAGCGCCGAGGTGTTGGTGAGGGGGGTGGCTGGAGGGGGGGCCCGCGTTTGGATGTTGTATCACTCCATTACACGCTCTTATGTGGTAATGTAGTGTGTACACACGCACGCCGCTTTAAGGAGGTAAATTACCGGCGCGCTGACCCTCTTTAAGCCGATCATGTATGTTAACAACGTTATTTTGAAGTCGGCGCAGCTTCCGTAGTCCGGCTTGTACACACGGACGCGCATGTAGGGAGGGACCTCTGTGCGAAATCGTCGCGATAGTTTGTGCAGTTTGCTTTTAAGTTTATGATTGTTTTACGACGGTCACTGAAATTAAGTTGTCGCTGCCAGAAATATTCCGTTTAACGCGAGGTCGGCTGTCTTGTTATCCGATAAAGCTAACTATGCGTAAGAGATTGTTTTTCAAACACATCGGCACGTTTATTTGAGGCCACGATGAAGCGCGGTCGCGAATGTATGCTACTGGTATTCACTGCTAAGCATGAAAGCCGAACATAATCATTTCTTTATATACTTTTTTGATGTGTAGAATTTTTGTATATGATTTATAGAATCTCGATCCATATGCTCAACACCAGATCCTGTACCATAAGCCGTTCTCGAAAATACGTGATACCACGTGACTATCACGCGCGAGCACCAGCAACCGAACGCAAATTCTTATAACAGTAACCTTAACTCTCGAAGTTTGCTATGATATTCAGACCCTCTACAGCACGCAGAACAACTGCGCGTCTAGCATACGCTACTCAACACAGAGCACTATGGGACTCACACCTGACTGGCCACAGGCTAAGTTCTCACACACGAGACATAGAGACTCAGCAGCTTAGGCACCCTCTATATATAGGCGCTACTCTGGTTTTCGCCCGTCTTCACTAACATACGAACGCTCCCCGAAACATAGAATATAATACACATCTGCGCGGCAAGGCTACTAAGGCAAATGCAAGGTTCAACTCCACGCGCACAATCTATCGCATATTACAGGCAAACACACTCGGTCGCTAACAAAACTGTAAGTATGCGTGGCCTCCAGATCATGGGGGGGAAAAAAAAATAAAAATGCACTTTTTCGGGGCCAGCTTTTTTAAACTTGCGTGCATGAAAATTATACTCTAAAATTTTGTTTGCATTGAAATCTAGTGCAAACTTTACACGGGGGATCTTTGTTTGAGCATATTCGATTTCCGGGGCTCTTTTTGGCATTTCCGGGGCTCTTTTTGGCATTTCGGGGGCTAAATCGCCCCGAGCCCCCGTGTATTTTTTTCACTGCCCCAGATGGCTATCGATCATTAGTAAAGTCTGGGAACATAATTAACACTATAACTCTGTGTTCCCCGTATAGCTCGGGATATGTTAAGTGGGGACAATCACATTTAACTGGACAACACTGCGGCGACAACGACCAACCTTAACGTTTGAAGACATTTGGGAAAATTAGAAACATTTCATTCCAGTGCACACACACACGACAACGTCCGGCCATAATAACTGCGACAACAAAGATATTTAGAATACAAGACGTAATTAGAACGCGAGAATGCATGGGTCACGAGATCTTCACGATTGTGTGCGATTCGCATGTATTTAAAAACCTCTTTACAGTTTGACATAAAATGTTGTCGCTTGGGTTACGGTTAATTTCTAACGGCTACTAAGACGTTAGCATTTCTAAGTATATCATCTGCTGCAATAGACGAGATGTGAGAAATGTTTGAACATATCCATAGTATTTCCGCCTTAGCTGTGGTAACAGGCGCTTTCAGAATAAACACTGTCGCTTGAAAGACATGTGTGGGTGTATACAAGTCTCCAGAGTAGCTTAGCAATTGTGATAACCACATAATTATTAGTCAAATGTAATAGGTGCTAATATTGACAACATCTGTATTTACACTATGAACCTTCTGATGAAAAGTTGACGAGTTGATAGATAGACGAATAGTGATGACTTAATTGCCACATTTTATTAGTGATACGTAATAGGTGATAATTAATAGCATAATATTGTTGCGTAAGAAGATATAAAGAGTATATTTCAATGATGCAGCGAAAGCTGATAATTGAGTGATATATAATAGGGCCAAATTATTTTTGCAGCAATCAACCCTGACGGCCCAGCTCCAATCACAGCCACTCGTGATGGTGCCATACTAGATGTTTAACACATGATGATTATATCGAGACCAGTGTAACTGTAATATGTATATTGTTATATACTTATATTTATATATATACATTTGCATTGCTGAAAATAATTTGTTAATTATTTAGCTTGACTATATGATCAAATTTGCAGTCTGTGCGGGGCATTAGAATCGGTATTGTTAAAGAGAAGATAGTAAAAATACGGATTTGTTACATGATTTGTTACCGCGCGTGATCATCATGTAAAGTTAAATGTTGTTTAGATATAGTTATTTTTAATAATGTTTGTACCTTTCTAAGAAGATCTCGCATTCTGACACTAAACTTACCTTGCGCAGCTTGTGATCTTATAAAGAATGAGTTGTATCTGCAGTCCAGCTATGCGACTTGCGTCTACTGATATTGTGTTTCCCTCGTCCCATTTACTCTTCATGAACGAGTTATTTTACGAGTATTGAGTGCGTCAAGGTTATACATACGCCTATCCCTAAAGCGACATATTTCCTAGTCTGAAAAACAGTGCCACCTTGTCGTCTCTCTGTGCCTGGGAAATTTATCGCTCCCAGGCTCGCGGGTGTTTTTCGGGTTGATGATTGCTTGTCTCGGACTCCGGCTGGGTCGTCGCAGACTGAAGGTCTCGAGTAAAACACAAACACAACGAAGTAACAGCATTGTCAGTTTTCGAAACGCAAACTTTATTGTATAGGTCATATATATATTCTACAGCGCTAATATCCACACGATATTTTAGAATCTATAATAGGGACGTGCTTACGTAATAGGTAGGTTGTGAGCCATGAATATAGTGAGCCATGTATGGAAAAACTATAGGCGATGACCAATTAATGATATTTACCTGAACAGTTTATTCAACTCTTTCAATACTGGATGGACCGCCTCAACCGCCTCTAATTTTTAATAATATATTTTCCTTAATATGAAGGTTTTCGAACGTTATGTTCGTATAGCATTTAACCCCTTATAACATTATGTGTGCATTAATACAATCGCAAGCATGAATAGGCTAATGTGTCAAATATACATTATATAAACCACAAGAATGGAACAAACTACAAAAACTACAAGAAGAAAACTCGTCGTACGCACATCATTACTAGGCGGGTTTAGGATCGAGGTAGTCATACTCCCTGTACGTCATCACATTTTTACACACTTCAACAA